CGTTTTGTCTTCTCTTTGCAATGCTTAATCGATTTGAAACCAAGTCTAACGTAGCTTAAACTTAAGGTTAGCTTTCTTGTTTTTTTTTTGTAGTGACGAATGAAGTTGGATGTTGTGGTGGTCACGTCACTGATCTTTAAGCTGCAGACCCTGCATACCGCTGTTCTCTTATTATTACCGTCATCGACAAAATAATCCTTGAATCCAAACTTCACTATTTTTGGAGTAAAACTAGCCGCTGCCATGTTAACTGAGACTCCTGCCTTCTAGTGGGTTGCCAGGTTTGCGCGCATGGCGCTATAATCATGTTTTTCGAAAAAACTAAACGTAATATCTTACTACAAAAACAAACGCAAATATTTAATTTTAAACAGTCAAGTCCTTTCAAGTCATCTATCTCAAGCTTAAGTCAAGTCTCAAGTCATGAATACCAAGTCAAAGTCAAGTCAAGTCTTTTATCAATGTTAGTCAAGCAAGTCTCAAGTCAAAAAATATGCGACTCAAGTCGGACTCGAGTCAAGTCATGTGACTCAAGTCGGACTCGAGTCAAGTCATGTGACTCGAGTCCCCACCTCTTCCATCCCTGGTAGCAGCTTATACATTGTTGGATTACTGATGGGAAATGTTTGTTTTATTTGTTTGTCAACAGGAACCTACTGCAGAGGAGTTTGAGGACAAGGACTGGACTTTTGTCATTGAAAATGTGAGTCTGCAGGATCGGGGTTTTCTCATTGAATTCACTTTTAATCAGAACATAATACTAAGGAAGGAAAATGTTTCTGTGTTGAACTTTCTTCTCATTGGTTTTATTTACAGGAGACAAAAGGCCGTAGGAAGGTGTTGGCATCGGCAGACGTCAACATGAAGAAGTTTGCCAGTGCCACGCCGGCCCAGTACGATGTGACGCTGAAGCTCAAACCGATTTCCGTCAAAGTGGTGGAGGCCACTCTGAAACTGAACCTGTCTTGCATCTTCCTCAAAGAGGGCAAAGCCACGTGAGTCATCAACTCAGAAGCATATAGAATACCATCTACTGAAAGCAGTAATTGTCAAATTGTATCCCGGAATTTAAATCAATCTTTTAAAATATTAATACTGTTTTGGATTTTCCTTACACTGAAAGAAACGCTGCTCCAAAAACAAGTAAAAAAACCTGCCATTGGAAAATATGTTTGGAAAGATTTCTTGAAATAAGACGGGATATCTACATAATAAATATCTTGTCATTTCCTGGGAAAACTTATTTTGAACTATATTTACCAGAATCAATAAATGTTGTGTTATAAAACAAGCCAGAACAGCTTAAAAGTAGTCTTTGAAGATAATTCAGATGCATTGTTTAAAACAAGACCCTATATCTCAGTGCATTGTTACTTCTTAAGTTAGTATGTCTTACATCAAGTTTTAAGACACATTCTGACTGGATGTTAGACAAATATACTTGGCAAGATTCCGAGAGTCATCTAATGTTTTGTTCTGCTCTCCACAGAGATGAGGACATGCAGAGTCTGGCCAGTCTGTTGAGCATGAAACAGAGTGACATTGGAAACCTGGATGACTTTGCAGACAGTGATGATGAAGGTGGCGAGGAGAGGAGGGCCAGCTTCGGACCGGCTTCTCATGTCACTGGTGAGACTGATACTGAAGGTCCTAATTCAACGACTTAAGGTTGATGAGATATATGTACTGATATGAGCTGAATGAGATATAAACGGAAGGAAGCAACTCTTGAAACAGGAGTGACGCGATCTGATGGAGGAAACCACATTATACCCTTTTGAGTATACAATCTTGACAACAGATCATTTAAATGTCAGTTTTCCTCAATTATTCCCAGGGTTATTAAGCCACAGCTGATGAAATCTGCGACTGTCAAAGTGTATAATTATAACCTGGGAAGCCTCGGTCAGTCCTGGCTCAAAATGAGAAGCTTTCACCCAATGTTTATTGCTTCTTTTTATTAATGTAGACACCTCCAGCTTTCTAACTGCCTACTGTAACAACTATTTTTGTGCGCTCTCTACTCTCTAATGAAATTCCAAGACCCATACCATTTCTTTGTCTATCTATGACATGGTATCCTGCCTTGTTAAAAGACCAGATTTGAGTCCCCATTTGCCTGTTGGATCATTTGTTCGGTCTTGGATGTGCATGTGTTTTCTGTCAGTCCATCTGTCTGTTGGCAACTCATCTCACATACTACTCGACCCACCAGTCTTATATTTTGTCATGCTCTTTTATGACTGAATGCTGTCTGTTAGGTTAAACACTATGCCTTCCCTAGTCTGATGCAGGCCTCATTATTGCTTTTTTCAACACAAAGCCCAAGCCTGTGGACCCCGGCTATAACCTGCACATGCTTCCAAATGAATCTGTGTCAAACAAAGTGTTGCTGTAGATTAAGCAGGGGAATGTGTGCACTGTCATTTGCAGCTTCAACACTACAATGTTTGCCGTCATCTCTATTAACTTTAAGGAGTTATGAAAGGATCTCCCTTTCACCTTTTATATTTCTCTTTCAATTGTTTCCTCTCCAGCTGCTTCCCCTTTTGTTTCCTATGTTCAAAACTCATTTCCCTTTTCACATAATCTGTATGTCTCCTGTTCCTTCTTCCTCTAACAGCCTCTGCTTCTTCTTTCATGAGAGTACATGATTTGGCTTGGAGGCCTGCAATGGAATCAGGTCCTGCAGGTAACTGTGTGTCCACGGATCCACTGTACCACCTTCCGATTGCCAAACTGCACTTTGTTTCATCTTAAAGGGGGCCCTATTATGCTGATGTTCAGGTTCATATCAGCATGTGGTGTCTCTACTTTAAAGAGTCCTCTCCTGCTGATGTTCAGGTGTATATCAGTATGTAGTGTCTCTACATGTCTCCATGCTTTAATGTTCAGAAAGCTCTTTATTGTTCTCATACTGCCTGTGCTGCAGCACCTCTTTTCACCCTCTGCCTGAAACCAGAGCCCAGTCTGCTCTGATTGGTTAGCTGGCCGCCTCTGCTGTGATTGGTCAACCTCTTACAGATGTCCCGCCCCTTAGCCTATCACGTACAATGTGTTGGAAACTCCCCCTGTAGGGAACACAGGGATTTGACCATTTACATGCACAAAAGACATCTTAATTCACCATGCACACTACAGGAAAGGGAAAAGCCCAAAAGCATGGTAGGGCCCCTTTAAGCATCCGTTTAATTTATTTAATATGTTTATATTAAAAACATATTAATGTTTGCCAGAAAAGCCAGCAATAAACACATACCTACTATCACTTTGCATCTCACTGCTCTTCTCCTTTTCACTTCCTCACCTTCTCGTGTGTTTCCTCAAATATGCTGTACAACTCCTTCCTACATCTCCACTTTCATCCATCTGTATTCTGTGTTCATCTGCTCTGCCATCCTCCCTTTTCTTATTTTCCTCATTTCATCCCTCTCTCCATCTTTCCTTGGATGTCCTTCCATTCTGCTCATCCTCAGAGATTGATTGGAAAGCGACCTCTGGCATTTCCTCCACCATCTCAGCCCCATCTCAGCCTCCTCTGCCCAAACCCCCAGACCCCCCCGTTCCATCCTCTCTATGCATCCGACCACCGAACACTGGCCCCCAGGCCCGGCCCTCCCCCTATGCCTACTCACTGCCAGCCTTTACTCGTGCTCACCCTCCTGCACTTCCCAAAATCTTCCAGCCCGCTGCCGGATCAGGTATCGGTTACCAGATATTCCTCATCCTGTGTGGTCACTCAGGGTCAGATTTGATGGTCCTACACTTTTCTGTTACTTGTGGAATTTAATTCCTACCACTCTGCACTGAAAAAACCTAAACCGTTGACTTTAATTTGGTGTATTACGTCAACACATTTCACACAACTGTATTAGGTTAGTTGAAAGCTATAATATTAAGTTGAACCTAAATTAAAGTCAACGGTTCCGTTTTTTTAGTGTGTATGGTTTCCAGGAATATTAGATATGTATATATATGTGTATATATATATATATTTGATAATGTTTCTCAGCATCGGTTCCATGTACATACTGTAGTTCAACTGTTCATATCCAGTCATTCATTGCTGATGTTTTTAAACTGAAACCAGTTTCTAATGAATTTGTACCTAGTTGCTTCCATTTGCTGTCAATAATTCAACACTTTAAACCCAGGTTTTCCACATTAGGGGCTTTCCAGCAGCTAAAAGGACATCACGTTGAATTGAAATTATTGAGTTTGAATTGATGTTACGATAATAACAGCAATATGAATGTATTTCTTTGAGCTTGATACTGACATTATTTGGATTTTGACACTTTTTAAATGTATTAAACCATTAGGATACAAACCATATCATTGTGCATTGTAACTGGGTGGTCCTTTAGTTCAGCTCGTTTAGTTTGTTTTTGATTTAGACTTGGAACTGGCCTAAAATCAGATTTAATCAGATCTGGATTCTTCACCACATACAGAAATCAGTGTCATTTCATATATATACCTTGGTTGATGGAATCAAATTAATAGAAAAAGTCCATGGATTTAAAACATGTGATCTGGAGTAATGCAATATGTTGTAATAGTGTCCTGCCGGGCTGATAAGTTGGAATGCCCTCAATCACCATGTCTCCATCACCATCCACACACTGTAAGGCAGTGGTGTAATGTAAATAAAGACATTCACTCAAGTACGGTATTTAAGTAACAAATGTAGGTAGGCTACTTGTACTTAAGTACTTTTACATTATTCTATTTAATACTTTTACTCCACTACATTTTGTAGGCAAATGTTATACTTTTTACGCCACTACTTTTATTTTACAGATTTAGTTACTAGTTACTTTCCAGATTTAGGTTATTAATACAAAATATAAATCAACCCACATTATTATATATTATTATAGGTTAGGCTACACAATAGTGTATAAAGTAATTCATAAACCCACCTTAACCAAATGCAACAATGAAGCGATGAACACATTATTGCACCAATAATTGTAATACATTAAAAAAAAAAATGAAAAAAATATCTGGGGCTTTCCATAACAGGTTCTTTCATTTAAAGTATTTCTGAATTCAAATACTTTTTGACTTTTACGTAAGTCACATTCTGAATAGAGGACTTTCACTTCTAACTTAGTATTTTTACACTGCAGTGTTGCTACTTTCACTTTAGTAGAGAAGTAGAGAGTACTTCTTCCACCTCTGCTGTAAGGCCAGTAAAGAGTCAGACCGGTGGCTCCATTTGTGGTTGTTTTAGAGAAGTGGTTTGTCAGGGAAAGCTTGCCTACATTGTGGCTTTACTTTACAACACTGAGTGATGTCCTTTCCTCTTCCTGTCTTTGGGTTTGTCTTCCCTCTCTCCCCTTTCCTCTCACTTCCTGTCTGCTATCTCTTCAGGGCCCATTTCAGCTCCGCGGAAGCCCCACAGCTTCCACAGTGGCTCCACTCCAGCTGAGGGCCTGGAAGCTTTTACCTTCACCCCTCCTAAAGCCCCCTCTTTCCTCTCTGCCTCACCCTCTGATTCATCTCTACATACTCCCACTTTCCCTGGTACCTCCCAAACAGGTATTACATCATTAAATACAAAGAATGTGATTGGTTTCTAATCGACAAGACTATTCAAATGAAGGTATACATATGGTGCTGTTCAGTGGTCTTAATGAGCTTTTCGGACTGATGCTGCATTCCCATTAAATGGAAAATATGGACATAAGCTCATATTTAAAGATATACCATTCATGCAGCTTTTATCTGTCTAAGGTATTCATGCTGTGATGGAGTCATGACACCCTGCCGACATGTACATTTTTGCCCATTTTGCGCTGCTGACATTCATTTAAGTGCATTTTTAATACAATAAATTAACAGGGACTTGAACAATTATTTGTATTTATTAAATTACAAATGATTATTCTCTATTTCTTTCATTTGTCTTGCTTTCTCAGCCTGTCCCAGTATCCCTTCCTTTTCTTCTCCGTTCTCCTCCTTCGCTTCATCTTCAGCTCCTCTCAGTCCCTGTCCTCCTCTGCCTCCTCTGCCTCCTGCTCCCAGAAACCCTAAAGCTCGCCCCTTCTCAGTGGGGGAGCCGGGCTCTGGCCTCACCCGGCCCACCAGCCTGCCTTCGGCCCCAGAGACAGGTACAGGGAGGGTCCTGTCAGAGGCTAGCTCCCACCTTCCAATTCAAATACCTGTCACTTCTGTTTCTCCCTCATCCCTCCATGTTCTTCCCTTCTCTTTCCAGCTTCCTGGCAGAGTGAATGGAGGCCTGCTAAATCTCAGGCTCCTCTAGCACAACCTGCCATTTCTCCTAAGTTCCTGCATCTCTCTGCCAAGGACCCTGGAAAGCCTGCAGTGCTGCAGAAAAAGGAGATAGAGACGCCATGTAATGCTCCACCTTTAACCCAGAGCTCACTGTTATTCAGCCTCACCCTCCCTGCTCTACCTGTGTGTCCTTCATTTCCTCTTATCTAAACCCAGTTCCTCCTCTCCTGTGCGAACATGGTATTTACGTATTTACAAGCTGCTTTAATTAATCAGTCATCAGAATGAGTTGAGATTCATTTAGATTCACTGCTTATTTGATCTAATCAAACAGTGCCCAAGTGGATTTGAACAGGTCAAGATTTGGTCATGACTCTCATTGGATTTAGATTTGTTCACATGCTGTATTTTCCTTTTGAATCAATTCCACATACAATTTCCTGCTTCCTTAAATACTCACTAGAAAACCAAAGTTGGATCAATCCGCAGCTGAAAATAGTCCCATACAATTGATTTGATTCAGTTGAAAGTTTGTTAAAAGCTTTAGTGGCCTGCTGTTTTAGGAAAGGAGAAACATTAAAGAGGTCCTATTCTGCTATAGGTATGTAACTGGTCTGCAAAGTTTAAAATGTTCTTTCTTTAAAGAGCTTCTTTATAGAGGGGTAAGCAAAAGTCATCCATTTCATCCCATGCTTTTTCCATGGACCATTTTTGCTCTTGGCTCCTCATGTGCTGCTTCCTTGGACATTTGTTCATGTTCTGCACTACCTGTTGTCGTCTCTTTGCTAGTTACTCACTGAGCTAAGTGACTGCTACGAAGAACAACACAGGAGAAAATGCTTGCTGAACTTATTTAGCTAAATATAATTTAGTTATGTGTCATTTATATTCCATCTTCAATTCCCTCTATCCTTTTCCTCCTTCCTCTTTCCCATGTGTTCCTCTCTGTCAGCTTCAGCCTCTGTGCACCCTGGCCCTTCTTCAGAGCAGAGGCTCCAGGGAGGCTCTGCTCTTGTTCCGTCCTGGAGACCCCAGGTCCCTGCTGCACTGCAGACGCCCTTACCTTCTCTCAGCCCTCCCTCTGCTCTCATATCCTTTTGGCCTCCTCCTTCTCCTCAGCCTCATATTTCCCAAGCTGCCATACCTTCTCACAGTGACCAAGATGCAGGTACACAATCAAAAGGGATGCTCCACTGAGTGACTAAGCCTCACCAATATATGAGCACATGTCTCCCCCTGCTGGTTTTCCTCATAAAAGCAGAGAAACAACACAACATGGTCGCATTTAAACTTCAAGCTTTTTATATGTAATCTCTCTTCCATGTTTTCTTTTGATTTCAGAATTCAAAAGACAGTTGAGTACGTTAAACGAAGAGGACAACCAGTCTACAACACCTACAAGTGAGCTTGAACACACATTGAGTAGAATAAGTGTCTGTTTTTATGGACCACACAGCTTTTTAACTGGAACAAAAATGCCTTTATGTTGTTCAGCCCCTGATCCCAGACTGCCGCCTAACTTCAGGACCGAGTCTTCCAGGGCTTCAGAGCGGAAAAGAGACGCACAATTTGGATCCGAGGTTGTTAAGGCATCAGCAGGGTAAGTTCATATAAAAGGTTGCTTTTGATCTGGTTTGGTGTTTTTTGAATATTTGGTGTGGTTGGCATGGCTGTAAAGGAATAATCCACCCTCTGATACTCCAACACTTGTTTTCAAAAAGTGTGATGTTGGATGTTTTGTACGGGTTGCATATGTAAATAGTTGAGCAGGGTTGTTTATTTGAGACATTGGAAGTAGCAGTTTGATTGAGAATAGGGATAGGTTCCAAAAGACTAGTAGAAGTATCTCAATTTGGCACGGTTGTGTCTAACATTTTGGAGCCTCTTCAAAATTATTTATCAGAAAATGTGTAACAGGCAGGATTTTGTGAAAGCCCAAGAGCAACAATATTAGGACCCCCTTTAACCTAGTGAGAAACTCCCTCTGGAGGGAACACAGGGATTGTAGCCTTTGCAGACCATTTACATGCACACATCCTACAGGGAAGGGACAAACCCAAATATAAATAAAGGATGTCAAAGCCATTGACTGGTTGTTTTCTCCCAACGGTGTGCAACATTTATTCATTTCAATGTGTGAAGCTTAACTAAACAACTGGTGATGCCATTCCGCTGATCAATGAGACTTCTCTTTGTCTTGCCTGACAACTATTTGGCATTTCTTGAATTGATCCTGGAGAAGTACAATGCAAAGCAGATTGCTGCCATGTGTATTTAACAATGTTAGAGCATTTGGGGTAGATTCTTCCTTTAGTAATATGATTTCCATTTAACGTTAATTGCACTGCATGTTATTGCTACCAACTTTCTTTTTGCAGTTTGAACATGATAATGTCTTGTATGATATATATATATCTATTCCATACTTACATTAGGCAACTATGGGATATAGGAGATAATCACTGGCTGTATGTTGAGAGAAATGGTTCTTTTTGCTAAACATTTTTCTATCTTAACATGGGTTCTTTTTTTTGCTTGACCCTACACAGACACACTTATTAACTTGGTTCTATGTGGAAGCTAAAGTCTGCACTAAGTGGTTCTCATCTTTTTGCAGATTGCAGTGTTACAGCTATTTCAAGCTATTTACCTTGATGCTCTTTGTCTGACAAACAATGTCTCTGAATCTAAGGTTGAGCTAGGCTGGGTTTATATGAGGTTAGGGATTATTTGTCTTGATGTATTTCAGTCATTTCTGGTAGAATATGGTCTACAACCTTCATCATAATTAAAGTTAAGCACAAAAGACTTTGTTCAGGCCAGTATGGTACCTGGGACTGTCAAAGCAGACCTGATATTTATACAAACAAAAGATTGTACAGATAATATATTGTAAGCTTGAGGAGATAGTAAATAATGACATTAAAGCAAAGGAATGTTTTTTGATAATTGAATCAAATGACTCCCTCCACTATGGAAAGGTTGACAAATCATTATTTGCGTGTGCAGGTTTGTATTAAATGACATGTAAGCATGCACGGGTGCCATTAGTTAAAAAGCTTCTATGTTACCTGAGCAGTGCAAAAATGGTAGAACCAAATAAAGTAATTGGCTTAGGAAGAGCCAAATATATTTTCTGAAGTAAATAGATTGTAAAATGCAAATTCAGTTCCATTTAACAGAATTAGCAAAAGGTAGCTAAAAGAGGTAGCTAATGTAGTGTAGCATGTTTTGTATTGGCCATTAATTGGTCAGGCTTGGATTTGTAGTTTTGGCACAAGATACTTAATCCCACACAAACACACTCCTCATTTGTTTGGTTTGAAAGAAATTCTGGGAATCTTACAAATAATTTTGTCTCAAACTCGATTACGTTAACTAGAGAACTCTGTTACGTTATATAGAAAACTCTATTAACCTCAGACGACAACAAGACAGAAAATAAGAAGTATGCTACGCTAAAATATATAGCATTAAAAACGAGATATAAACATTTATTTTACATCATATATTTTTTGAAATATCTTGTTATTTTCAATGTAAATCTGGGGCCGTATTCACAAAGGATCTTAGGGCTAAAAGTAGCTCCTAACTGGCGAATTTAGGAGAAACTCCTCAAAATAATGGGCGTGTCAGTCTTAAATTTAGGACTCCTAATTTTATTCACTAAGAGCAATTCACAAAGTATTTTAGGCCTAAAAGTAGCACCTAAGTTTAGGAGAGCTTAAAAGTCCTCGAGAGGACTCCTAACTCAGTAAGACCTATTCACAAAGAATCTGAAAATGGCTGCGAGACGAAATGTTTTGGAGACAATGGAAGACTGTGAATTGATCAAGAGATATAGGCTAAATCGTGAGGGTATCAAACTTGTTGTGGAATTAGTGCGGGATGCAATAACATCCCCGACTAACAGGAATAACCCGATTAGTCCGGAAATAAAATGTTTGGCAACACTACGATATTTAGCAACAGGGAAAATGCAACTTTGCAATGCCGACGATTTAGGAATATCGCAACCATCAGTCAGCCGTGCCATAAACCAAACCATCAACGCGCTCTCTAGACCACATATCATCCAACAGTTTATCCGGTTTCCTTTGGACAATCAACAACTACACAGGATCAAAGCCAACTTCATGGCAATTGCAGGTATGCCCGGTGCGGTCGGTGCTATTGACACATAAAAATAATTGCGCCATCAAAAGATGAGGACGTGTTCGTCAATAGAAAGAAAGTACATTCCATCAACACGCAGATTGTTTTCATTCATCATGATAGGGGGACTTGAACGGCGGTATGGGCTGTTATTGAAAGTGTTTAAGTGCTGGAAATATGCTCATTGGATAATAGTTTGCAGGGTGCTTTTAATTGCCTCCTTGATTTAATGCAATTTACGTATTTTTATTGTTTGCTCTCTCTCTTTAACGTGCATATACAACGTCATTATCGTGGTCTGCACAAACTTGTCATCATGCGTGTATTCTGCTAACTGCACTGTCCATACTATTTGATAGGAATACATTTCTAGCCTAGGCTATTTCCTGTTTTTCGGTTGGATTTAGTGGGCTCGTTTGTGGGGATGTTGCGGATGAGTTTCACCGAGACCGCCTGCTCTGAACAACCAATCACCGTACTGACCGCTTCTAAACTCATGCACGAGAATCGACGTAATCCATAGCAACGGCGCGTCACTCTTAGTGATTTATCCTTAGTATGAGTAGGTCTCAGCGGCTTTGTGAATAACTTTTAAGAAAAAACTCCTACGTAAAATGTTTTAGCGCGAGTTAGGAGCATTCCTAGCGGTAAGATAAAATGCTTTGTCAATACGGCCCCAGACGTCTACAAACTAGGGCTGTGCAATTAATTGTATTTTAATCGCGATTACGATTATGGCTTGCGAAAATTAGGAAAACAGCATAATTGACAAAATACGATTATTTTGCTGG